AACAAAAACCTTCGCCTGCAGGGCCGCCACGACCGAGCCCATGAGGAGGAACTGAGATTTCCTGCACATGATCGGTGACCCAGCCTCCAGCCGATCCCGCCGACGAACCGGCCTTTGCCAATAAGAAGCCGGTCCCTCCTGCCTGTTGCCCCACGGCTCGAAGGGAGGGTGATCGATACTCCATTCGCTCTTGTCCAGTACCAACAGCGGGCAAATGAGCAGACGATTGGCATCCTCCCAAAATGACTGCCAACAAAACTCCCGCGAGTTCAGCCGGGAAAGCGGCCACTGCAGCAACGGTCTCCGAAGCATCTTTCGACTGCCCACCGTCCTGGTGAACCTCCGAATCGACCAATTCATCTGCACATAGAAAATGTCAAGGAGCAATTAAAAGAACGATGGCGGCTAAGACAAAGTTTTTAAATACTCGTGAATATATCCTTTGAGGAGATGGTCTCCAGACATCTTCCCCCCTTCTTGTACTGCGAGGTGCCTTCGCCTTCCTACAGCAGCGGTTGGGAAGAGATACTGATCTCTGCTCCCTCCGGTCTCTTTTCGCCCTCCTCGAACCATGCCCGACTCGGGAATCAAGGTCTCCCAACAAGGGGCCTTCAACACCCGCCCCTCAAGGTCCCCAAATGAGCCAATTTGATCAGCCGGCGCAGGTTCAGTCATTGACTGTCTTTCTTTCCTGAGCTTGATCTTTTTTATAGAATTCAAAGGCCTGTAGCCCATTTTTATCAAAATCTTGGGGTGGACATGGAGTTTCCTCAACTCATCGGTCATAACTCAAATCGACTGATCACAGGAAAATGGTGACAACAGATGCAATGTCAAGCCTATGACTATCTATAGAAGCATACTGGGCACAAAATCTGAAGGAAGTTGATTATTACATTGACTTTCTTGATTTTAGTACCATACTAATAATTTCTCTGTTTTTATCGTGGTTGTCACTTTCAATGAGCTGTAAATTTTGGGGAACTAATATGTATACACCATAACTATCAGTACAGATATCAAAGCATCCGAAAGACAGACGAAAACCGGACAACCAAGACGTCTTACCGCCATATTGCCAACTGCGTGGTCGAGAATCGACCGACAGGGCATGACGAGAGACTTGACAGGGTATAAAATCCATACGATTAATAAGAGTATCAATTGTATTAAAAGCGGTTTCTATAACCGTTCTCTCATTTCCATGATTGTACAAAATACTCTCCTATAAATAGGAGGCAAAAATATGAACAAAGGGACGTCTTTTCCCAACTCTCTCTACAGGCAATTTTAAACTTATTCTACTCTCTCCCCTCCTTCGTCCGACCCAAACTCTCGAGACGTATTCACAAAGGACAAATTAGGATCCAACACTAGCTATTAAAAAGTCATCACACTCCACTCAAAGTTAAAAGCAAGACAATTCAATCATGTTTCATCTTTGCTGCTATTGAAATGTTGTTTGATATTGTACTAAAATTAAATCGGCCCAAGCAAAAAAAAAAAAAAAATCATCACCATTCACCTATTTACTTCTTATAGATTACTATGAGAAAGACCCCTAATATTTTATTAAAAAGGCAATAATCAGATGCAAAAGAATAGACTCAAAAAAAAAAAAATGAGAGAGTGAAAGAAAATTATTAAAATTTCAACTCATTTAATCATCAATGATCATCCATTACCGGCCATAAACTTCTATTTATAGAAAAAAAAAGTAATTTTAGATCGAATCTAATCTAACTCTATATAATTCCTCAATAAGCCTATCCAAAACTATATCAAATCCAAACAAAAAAAAAAACTCAGATTTGAACCTAAGATTATCTATATGAATAGAGTCAATCTAATTTGAATAAAACAACCTAACAAGAAAATATAAAATTTAACTTCATAAACCATTTTGGTTCAATCTAGACATTGGTCTAGCCTTAACTCTTGATATGGGCTTATATGTTGCTTCCAATGGACATTCTTTCATTTATATTACCGTCAACAAAAATGTTTGATTGTCCAATAAAGTAAAATCCTAATTCTTAGTTTGCTTTTTATAATTTAAAATCGCATGCCTGATCTGTAGCTACTCTAACTTAAAATTTCTTATTCACCAGACTGTGATATTGCAAAGGATCTTTTATTTTTTTCCTATGTTTTTCCTGGGCATGCTAATGGGTATAAATTTATCCCAAGTTATCCTCACAGATTAGTTCAATTTTAAGTTATAGAAAGCAAGGCATTCTCAAATCGAAGAGCAAATTTCTCTTTTCAAACAAATTGCAAATTAGAGACAAAGTTAAATTAGTTCATACGACATTTTTAATGAAAGAAGAGAGGTTAAAAAGAACCTAAAAAGCTTTGTATAATCTTAAACCTTAATATACTTAATGTATGGAAGTGTTAGACAAAAATATCCTTAGAATTTGAATCATTTTGCACGCCAGGGAACAGATTAATGCTTAACTTAAAAAATAACATTAGATTAAAAAAACAAGTACTGACTCTATTCAAATTTACTTTAATGACTTAATATTACTAGCAAAAAAAAAGGATGCAATATAATCTAATTTGAGTAGGAAAATAATAGCAACAAACAATCAACTATGTCATGAATGAGAACGTCATATGTTCTAATTTTGCTTCAAAGTTCTTTCGAATCATACGAAGATAAGGAATTAACTATAAGAGTTCATTAGAAGCATTAGTGGATGCTAAATTGGTCTTTCCATTGTTACAACGAAGTGTTGGAGGCTCATTATCCGAAAAAAAATTCACACTTGTAAGGCTATTCAGCCATATAAGGTTGTCATCTACCCCTACAGTGTTACTACACATAGATGAACACAAAAAGTAGTAATTTCTCTGAATTAATTAATCGAATTAATTTTCATTCTGCTTAAAAAAAATGAAATAATCTTAATCTCGAAAACATTTTCGATGAAAACATGACTGTTCTTTCATGTATTGATGACTCTCTTCATCTTTTGACAACACTATATGAAGCATATGTTCCTTTCAACCTTTGTATTGGCATATCTTTGCTGACTTTAGTTGCTTCTTTGTTTAGGTTCCATTACTATTGATGTGTCATCAAAAATCTTGATCATCAGACACAAATTTTGATACATTTTGAGCAAAAAATATTCTAAATTCAAGTTCAAGATCATCTGGGCTCTATGATTTCAATAAATTTATAAAACTGAGTGTTTTGACAAAGCGAGTCCAATGGCGCTGAAAGTGATCCAATCTGCGTCCAAATAAGCCAAATCAAACATTTGAAGTGTTTTCATACTTTTTGTTGTATCATTTAAAAGACTAAACAATCTCTAAACTTGATCTACTTATAGTCATATCGAGAGGAAGCCAACAAGCCTTAAGATACTTAAAATGTTAAAAGAATTATATGTGATCAAGAAAATCAATGTGGGCTGTCCAATAGAGTATTTTGACATTCTGATTAGATTTACTGAAAACACCATCTAAAAAACCATAAATAGAACCCAATTCTTTACTTGAAGGGTAAGAACAAGAGAAAAGTGAGATAATAACTAAAGCATACTCTTGAAATAAACCGCAGATGAACGACACCAACAATTGTTCCAATCAACTATGATTATTGTAGCACCAACTAAAATTCTTGTAGTCCAATTACAATTTTTATAACCAATATTGAAACCATCAACAGCAGTTATTGTAATTCAATGAAGAGTGGACCTACGTACTATTAATTTTTTTAGTAGATTACTTTGACTGGGCTAGACTCCATAGTTTTTTCCTTTTATATAATTTTTCCACAAAAAAAAAATCAAGTGTTTCCTTCCATTATTTTTTTTAATATGTGTATGTGTTGGATTTTCATGCAACGCCAATACGTTAAATTATCACTATGATGGTTTGAATTTCCCAACACGCAACAATTATAAATCATTAAAGTGTTATCTTTTTACAAAAATAGTTTTTCATTTTAACATAAAAGTGTTATTGGATCTCAAGTTTACCAGTCGGAAGAAAAGAAACAACAATACAATAAAACATTGAAAGGTCAATTAAAATGCAGGAATATTTTGTTAAAAAAAATATTTGGAAAGGAAATATACAGTGCATGTAACTAAAATTGTAGCAATCTGAGAAGGAACACTGAAATGAGTTCGTTACTGCATATCCAGCAGAAAACTCAAAAGGAAAAATAATAAAAGAACTTGCCCTCTGTTCATATCTAAGAGCAATAAGAAAACAAAGGATAAAGAGCAGTGGCTATAAATTTTGCACCATTACAAATTGTAAAACAAAATTTATAGTTTAGAGTTTTATTTGAGGTCTATCATCAATTTTAATTCATGGTAATATAGATTAAAAAAGGATGAGTGGTAAGGATATAATTTTACGGAATATGAAGCAATTTTAAAAAGATGATTGGCCATGATTTTTTCTTTCTAGACTGATTTTTTTAGTAGAATTCCAAGTTCCATTTTAACAATAGTATAGATCAAAGATAATGAGTTGTTGAGCAGATTACCAAATATCATACTAATAACAGAATATATGAGTTAGCTATAAGTAACCTTGACAAGCAAACATATCAGCTAAAAAAAGTCAATTCATCCTTGATTAATAAATATATATAAAAAAAATCAATTTATATAATTCAATTTTACTAAATACTATTCCTAAACCTGCCAAAAAATAAGAATGATATAGGTTTGTAAGCACTATTTCACAGAAATATAGCGAATAAAATAATTTACTTATACTCATATATCGTTCATAATACATCAATCAATCTGCAGGTTTCCCCTTGTAACAAAAAGGTTTAACCAACAATTTCCAATAGTTCAAAAACAACAAAAATGAAATTTTGTTAATTTCATGGCAGAAAAATATCAGCTTGCTGTGACAAATTTGCACAAGTTAACAAAACAAAGGCCTTACGAATCAAAATCCAAATACAAATCACATTGAAGAACTGTAACCAAAGCTTTCAAGAGAAGAATATGGGGAAAAACCTGGTATATTGGAGGATACATCGAATTAGTGCATATCGGACATTCAAGTAATTCGTGAACACTATTGGTAGAGGAGGGGCCATTTTTGGCACCAGGAGCTGATAATGGCTTCTCCAGATGAACATTCCCAAACTCACTCAAAGCGCCAGGAGCCTCCTCATCAGAGTCCTCTGCTTTAGGATTCTCCATGCAAATCCGGCTCGCAGGGAGCATCAAAACAAATTACTGCTTTATACCAAGTTGTCTTGCCCTAGACCAGCAATTCCTGCCACAGTGATTCAATCAACTCTTCCTCAAGAATTTATCACCTGATCCATAAAATAAAGCAAATATCACTCACCCTGCATCAAAGCACTTCTTCTTCTATCTTTTGGGGAAGTAAGGAACTCAATAATCGCTCGATTATTGAAAGGATAACAGACACGAAATCTTCATAAAGCCTTACAAGTTTGTATAGGGGAAGTCAACGACTCGAAAAAACCACGAAAACGTGTACGTATGGGAGATCAAATTTGATAAATAACTATGAGTTTGACGCCATCAAAGTCTCTCTGTTGTTGAATTACAAGAATTCAAAAAGAATCAAATCGAAGAAGAGTAAGGTTGCATCACTGAAACCCACAAGCGCTCCTCCAAAAACATTCATATAATCAGAAAAAAAAAAAACAGAAATAGCATACCTTAAGACCGATCAAGAAGTCCAACTCGCAGCGAGAAATCAATGGATCAGACGAATTATTGGCCTTGAAAGTGACCGGCGAAAAGATAAAACACGAGTAGTAAAGGGGCGTGGAAGGAGTGCGCGTAGATATAAAGAGGACTAGGGCATCTTCAACTGAGGGACTACTATCATCTCCTCGTTCCCGTCTGGTTCCACCGTCCATTGGCAGAACCTGTAAGAACCCAATCCACAGTAATGTCCCCACCGATTTTCGTCCTTAAGACTTATTTTATTCCAAATTATACCCTTTTTTTTTATGAAGGATAAAAAATTTACGATCTTCGGTCCAACCGTCCGAGCGTTATAGGGCGTCAACCATGGCGCCCGATTTTGTTCGTATTTGTCACGTAATCATTGCCCTGGATCGAAATTTCTTCAGCAAGTTCATCTGGGATTGAGTCGCACATATTTTGAGTTCGGTTTTGACTTGGATCGTGCTTCAATTTGCAATGGGTTCGATTTGAGATCATCTAGAATCCTATTTGAGGAATGGACCAAAATTGGACGAAGTAGACTGCGACTAGGGTTTGGACCCTTTCATCTCTTAGAGACCCTTTGATTTTGCTCCGTGGGGGGTAAAGAGATGAATGCCGAGTATGAAGAATGTATTATAAATGTACTGCATTTGTATTGTTTTAGAAAGGATTGATTGAGTATAAAATAAATGCAAAATATTATTATTTTTGTGCATTATTTGAATTAAAGAGAATTCATTGTAAATTCCAATAATGGACTCAGATTGACACGACACAAGTGGTTGGTCAGCAGTATCGTGTTTTTCGGTGGTTGGGTGGCCAACAGTATCATGCTTGTCGGTGGCTGCCAGTAGCAATAGGTGGTGACCAACAGGAGCAGGAATATTTAATGGATGACAGTGATAACAGAAATGATGATAATTGTGGGTGGTGGTGGTTGTGGTGGAAATGACGATAGTCTACAAACAATTGTTGTCAGCGACAACAAGTGGCACCGACAGAGGGAGCGACCAATAATGTTCAACAATGGGTAATGATTAGCAACGAGTAGTGGAGGCAAACACCTATCGGTGACATAATAGCCATGACTTGCAGTATATTTAAAACTCTACTAAACCGTTTGGATTTGGAATGCATCGTAAATAGCTTATAAGGTGAGTTTGAAATTCTTTGAAATTTTAATTTGCATGCATTCATTTTTCTTCAAACCAAGTATCAATATTTTAAAAATCTTTGCATGTGGAATATTTGAAACCTTTTAATTTGTAATATTTCTTGTCAGTTGAGATATATATGTTTTTAGGTAAATGAGGGGAAGTAGCTTGATCTATACTTTCAACTTATTATTGGAAGGAGCTCACAATTCAAAAAGAGCAAAACAAGAACTTGTAATGGGATCTACTTGAGGGAATCTCTTACCTATTTAATTTATCATTTGAGCAAAGCAAATCTTAATATTTTACAACAATATGTTGCCGATGAATTTGTTATTATTATTATTATGGTTGTTTGGATAGAATGCTTCTTAATTTGATCATCAATTCATCGACATTGATAATATTCATGCTTGCCTCCTCTTTGAAAATGTTGGATCAAATATTGTCTCTCGAGCACATCTAGACAATGTTACAATGACTCACCCCGAAAAGGCTAGAGGAAAATGAAGTGAGAGAAACTTTCAATTAGAGAGTTATTTATTTATTTATTTTGCTTAATTACAATCTATAATATTCAATTAGAGACAAGCTCTTAAGGGAATCTCAAGGATAATGATTTTTGTAGAAAATTACAAACTGAGGTTATATATTTACGTGTGTTGGTGCATAATTAGTGATCTTTAATTTAGAAATATGGGTATGGTTAACAACACATAATAGACTTGCTGTGTGCTAGAAGAATCGCGACAGTAGAATAATATATTATCGTTTTAAGGTGGTACGATGGTTCAACATACATTTAGAAGAGAGAAAATTAGTAGTGACATCAGAAGCTCTTACGTGGAAAACCAGTAAATGAAAAAAACCGCAGAGTCTGGCCCAACTTGTAAAATTCCAATATAAGTTGATGATTACAGAGAGTCCTTATTTCATAGGCGATAAATGATACAAAGTCTTTTGATTTACAACGTTAGTGCACTGAAAAACTTGTTGTAAGGAACGGAAGGCAACCAATAGCGATCAGAGGTGGTTGTTGACCACTTTTGGTTGAGGTCTAGAAAACTTCTTTAGTAGCCTAGGTCTAGCCATAGGACTTTCCTATTGATTAGTCTTAGAAAATTAGAAGAGGTACCCCACCATTAGAAATTCCAAACTCTTCTTTTTACTCAGCTTGAAATTCCACATATTGATCTTAACCTCTAGCATTTAGTAGGTAAGATCATTATAAGAGAATTCAAGAAGAGTCCCTATAGGATTACTTGGCTTTGGGGTTGACCCTGGAACTAGGATACACCATATCTTCACAATATATTAATCCCTGGTTCATTTAGAATGGATATCTATCCAATTCTATGTGAAATGCTTAACTTGGTATTTTGCCCCTAGGCACCTCCAAATTACCTAACTGCCCTTGGGACCCAAATTTGGCTAATATTCCCAAATTTTGCCAAAATACCCAAAATTGATCAAAACCCATTTCAAACACCTTGGATACATCCAAATTTGTCAAAATTTCCAAAAATGACCAAATTACCAAAATACCCCTCCATGACCCAAAATCCAAAAA